GAAGGTTAGACATCCAGGTAATACGATACGCCAAAAAGCAGTTACTCAAGCAACTGGATATGATTTTGAAAACGTCGGACGTTTCAGCTAGTATCCACTAGCTTTCGTCAGTGACTGTCGAAAAGTCACTAGCTGAAACGTCTGACGTTTCCAAAATCATATCCAGTTGCTTGAGTAACTGCTTTTTGGCGTTAAATAGCATTCAACTCTAATTAAATCAATCCGCAGGACCCTCTACAGCGACCACTAATTACAAAAGAAATTCAACAAAACGACAGAAGGATAGAATACTATGTGAGTACACTCTACACTTACCGATCCTGAAGACTTTAAGTTCTGGATTTGGAAGAGCCGAAGACCTGAGGTCCTAATATACCGTATGTGTGAGAGGGTCAACAGGTTTCAACAGATAACTTCATGTATATGTCAATATGAACGTCCAAATATAACTCAGTTGACGTAGATGAACGTCTAAATATAACCCAATTGACGTTGGGGAAGCATCACAATGATGTCAGGAGGGAAAGACTGGCTAAATTGAACGTCTAAATATTATTCTATTGACGTCAAAGAAGCACCGCCCCTACCAAAATAATCCGATAAGGCGAATGTCAAGGATATGGTCTGCTCGTGTTATTGAAGGTGAAGGGCGTCTCCACTGTAGTTTGTGGTGCAGTTAAATCATGAATGAACAGTTTTCCAGATTGCTTCATTTCTGCAAAGAAACACAGAAGAGAACAAGAAATAGCCATGCATTCAAATACCAGAGTTATCAACCAAGGATTGAGGTGTTCAAGAATTCATTCTTTCCTAGAACTATCGCAGAGTGGAACTCACTGTCACCAAGTACAGTAGGGGCATTGTCAATAGATAGCTTTAAACAATGTCTAGAGCTAGAAGTTCAAGGGTTAGGTGTAACAGGTCGATCGGTGTAATATAGCCAGCTGCCGCCGCGCCGCGTGCCTGCGAAGCTGGTTTGTTACGCCGAAAGGCGGTTATACCGGCTATACAGATACAGATACAGAATGTCCAGACTGTGCATGATGTACAAAATGACTAATGAACTGGTGGACGTACCAACTGGTTAACCACTAAGTATCTGATACCAGCCCAGAAAAGAACAAGAAACAGTCATGCCTTCAAATATCAGAGTTATCAACCAATAATTGAGGTATTCAAAAACTTGTATTTCCCCAGAACTATCGTAGACTGGAACTCGTTGCCACCAAGCATGGTTTGGGCATCATCACTAGAAAGCTTTAAACAACTCCGGCAATTAAATGTGAAAAGATTGAGTGTGCCGTTCGGTGTGATATACCTAGCTACCGCCGCGCCGCGTGCCTGCGAAGCTGGTGTGTTACGCCGAAGGACGGTTATACCGGCTATACAGATACAGAAGCTGGTGTGTTACGCCGAAGGGCGGTTATACCGGCTATACAGATACAGAAGCTGGTGTGTTACGCCGAAGGACGGTTATACCGGCTATACAGATACAGAAGCTGGAGTGTTACGCCGAAGGACGGTTATACCGGCTATCAGATACAGATACAGAAAGACCGCGCATTGATACGTTCGTGATGTGTTATAGGACGCGATCCAGCGAACTGGAGCCGAAAGACGATTTATACCAATTTTTTCCCAACCGACTACCGACCTTGGGTGTGAGGAATTTGGAAGCAAGGTCGTGGAAATGTCTTGAAAGCATCGTACGACAGGAAAATGCTGATGTGTCGTGGGGTCGTGTGGCGTATCGGCAGAGTGCGCGACTCGGCACTGAGAGTCCCGGGTTCTAGTCCTGACATGCCACCGATCTTGTGCCCTTGGGAAAGGCACTTTACACGGCTTTTCCTCACTTCGCTCAGGTGTAAATGAGTATTGTCCTGTAATGTATTTTTCCCCTGTGTTGGTGGCGGCATTAATATAAGTTGAAAAAACTTGAGTGTGTCGTCACCACGTCTGGTGATTACATGTTGGAATTTAAAAAAAAAAGACGATTGATACCAATTTTTTTCCAACCGACTACCGACCTTGGGTGTGAAGAATTTTGAAGCAAGGTCGTGGAAATGTCTTGAAAACATCGTACGACAGGAAATGCTGATGTGTCGCAGGACTTCTCAATTGCATGCTCATAACAAACCTTGGCCCATTGATGACGTCAGACGTAAATAACGTCATTCATGACTTTCACGTTTCCCATAATGCCTAGTAAAGATGACGGATATGACGTAAGAACCGGATATACGTAATGCGACCGTGCGAGTAGGAGAGTGTTCGGTAGAAGTTTGAACGACAGAAGGTACGTCATTCTCTCTAATTCCAACAATGCAATTATGGCATGCGCTTTATACTAGATATTGACCAGTTTGGCGATAGAACTTGATGAAAATATTACATCGAGGAAGGGGGAGGGGTGGTATACGTCATATACGCATTTACTAGGCATTATGGGAAGTGTGTAAATCATGAATTGGGTCTTAGGTCAGAGAGCTGACAAAAACTGAGCCAGTCCAATTTTCTTAATGGAGAACAGTTAAAATCTATATATAATGTATTCATCAACGAAGATAATTCATTTATATTTGAGCCACAACTCATAACACTTGAATCTACATTTTGTTGATTAAACTGAAAATAATGACGAAAACACAGAAAAGAATATTCAAACTGTTGAAGAACAATTTTTATTTTCATGTGTCCACTGTCATTCTATTCTGAATTCAGTCTTCATGGTTTGCCCCCCTCCCCACTTGCTTCCGGTACTCGGGGAACTGCGGTCGGTTCAGCATTGGGCACAGCTGTAGGGAAAATGACGTAGATGTCAATCAGTCCTATATGTTAGGTTAAATAGCAGAGTTCTTCGATCACAACCGTTTATTTTTTACGAGCCTATATGTTTGTCATAAATATTACATCGTCGTACGTAGTTCTATGCTCAGAGTGATTTTAGAAATTATGTTAAGAACTGTACCACTATACGTCTTGTAGTAATTTTTGGTTCGTAGCTGTTTTAACAACTTCTGTCTATGATTTCTATTCTACTGTGTTCCACTGACAGTATGTAAATGAGCATGCAATTCAATAATTTATCTGGCTGCAATATACTTCTTTAATGTGCAATAAACTGAAACTGATAAGATAAGGGATCCAAATCTGCAATTTTTGTTGCAATGTTTGTGTTTAATGCACAGCACTGAAATTTACACGTAGATAGAACTGTGTGTGTGTCTCTCTCTCTCTCTCTCTCTGGGTTTGTTTGTTTGTGTGTGTGTGTGTGTGTGTGTCTCTCTCTCTCTCTCTCTGTGTGTGTGTGTGTGTGTGTGTAAACACAATAACTCAAGAATGCTTATTTAGTGTACATGGATTGTCTTGATATTTAGTAGGTGAGTAGGCCTTGATGAGACCTCAAACTCACATTGAATTACTTTTGGCCCCCTGGTGGCTTTTAATGGTACTGCAGCGGAACAATAATGATTACAAAAACATTCACCTTATCCAGTGACGGGTCCAGTTCCGGCTTGCGCTTGCAGGATCCTGTCCCACACGACGTAGAATCCGGCTCCCTCTGGATCTTCTAGGTAGTCACTATCTGTAAACACCAAAGGTACGTGAAGAAAGAGAATTTATTTATTTCAATATCTAATGTTCTTTTTTTCCCACTTATTTTCCCGAGGTTTCGGTGACTGTCCATCACCTTCCTAGGGGCAAATCTAACTGGTTTACTTTGCACTAAAGTACAGGTAATTCTGCATTTCCGAACTCAATTTATTTACATGTTTGCACAGGTACAACTACTCATTGCAGATACTGTTCCTGTATAAATATATATATATATATACAGGAACTCATTGCAGATACTGTTACTGTATATATATATATATATAAACACTCCTGTACGTTTGGGCCCACATTGTTTATACTGATCTCTGTATATCCTCGATGTCCCCGTTAAAGCTTCAAGGCTCTAGGTATGTAAATGTTTTGCGTCTCTTCACCCAGTGCCTTACCAATCTGATTAAACATTTCAAGGATGTTAAATTACAGTTATGTGGTGGTACACAAACTCTTGCTGTGGAACTAGAGTCATGGAAACAGAAGTCGCAGAAGACCACACTTGACTTACAGCAAACAACTAGAAGCTGACAATGGAATGACTTTAAGTCAACTGCCTGCAGCTATGGAGGATAGAGATAAATGGAAGCAGACAGACATGACTGGACTACGTGTAAGCTCGGCAGAGTGAGTATGTGTGAGTAGCAGGCCGATTGGATTCTCCATGGTCGGCTACCTTCTCTGGCCATTTAATAGCCTTTTTAGGTCGATTTCTACAATTCATTCAGCCTTTTTTTTAAAGGTGTCGCTCAATGCAAGGCCAATTATATTTGGCCACTTCTAGGCACAGAGCTAGAGGTACTTAAGTGAGTATAATGTAGTTATGTCAGGAGATGGCGGTGGACCTTTGTTTTGAAGCTTTGTGGATTGTAATCGGACGGAATGCAGCTGTTTGGAAGAGAGTTCCATAGTTTTGCAGTCCGAGGAAAGAAGAAGTTGTTGTAATAAGACGTGGAGACAGGTATGTTAACGGTGTATTGATGAGAACTGGAAGAGAATCTAGTGGCACGCTGAAAGGTTCTGAGCGGTTGAACAAGCCTGTAAAAGGAGTCTAGTAACCTACCGTCCTGGTCCAGTCTGTCGAAGACCCTCGACAGGCTCATGCGGTGTTCGTGCGCCTCTTGGAAGCTGACGTAACCGTCGCCGTTTTCGTCCTGGTCGTCGAAGAATTCGGTCGTTTCGGACCCGAGAAGAATGTTAAGCTCAGTCGCGGACAGCCGCTGGTCTCCTGCACAGCGAAAATATTTTGTCAAAAAAAATCATCCAGTCTAATTATCAGCACCCCGAAGCCGGGAAGGTGTCAGCTTTGCAACCTTCTATTGGCAGATTAGGAATGGCACCTTTACGTGTGGAATTATTGGGTTTGGATTCAAATTTGAGTCTCCTGCTGTAATCCGAGAACCAACAAATCAACTTGATTGGGCTACATAAAGAATAGATGTATCAGTTCTATCCAGAACAGTCCACGCGTATCTAGAACCGTGCCTACGTTCTGTGATACGCGGAGACTATCCAGAACCGTGACTGATCCAAGCTTAAACCCATTCAGAAATAGAACAAGATTGGAACGGTTTGAAACTAGGCGGAGAAAGATGTGTTACTCTATCTTAAAGCGCTTCTACGGGAACTCTTTCTTCCGAAACGTGATTTACTATGCATCTACGATTTTCTGTATTATTTGTACGTCTCTAGAGTTTTGTATCATTTTAAGACGTATTGTGTTTTATGTTTTTTTTACCTGAAATAAAGAAGAAAGAAAGACAAAAGTTTTTCGTACCGTCAGCGTCCAAGGCGGTCAGAACCTCGTCGTATGTCATATGGCTCGTCACCTCGAGCTTGGAGAGTTTTCCGTCTCCGTTAGAGTCCAGAGGGTTGGTGAATGACGGGTTGTTGATGACGTCGTAGATGTAGATGAGCTGGTAAGCCTCCGCAGCGTCCAAGGACCCGTCAGCTGCAGACAAATATGTCTTTTTTAAAAGGCTGTACTCATTTATGTTTGTTTTTCATGGTAAAAGTTCGACGAAAGTCGGTACCCCCCGTCACGGTTGAGTGAAGGGGGCGTGACGGGGGACGGTGTCGACTTCCGACGAACTTTAACCCAGTGCTGACGTCACACGTGACTAAAAGTACAGTTCAGACAATGATAGGCATTGAAATAGAATACAATAGAATGTTCTCAATTGAAACAAAAACTTGTAAAAAGGATGTGGTCAAAAGACTGCAAAAGAACATTGAACAACATCGCATGGCTTGGAAACTGAGGCAACGTCCATTTGGTAGATCTCGTTAGATTCGCCATGTAAGAAGATGTGGAATAAAAAACATACACGTTGGGGTTGAGAGTCAACCTTACCGTTAAAGTCGAACTGGTCGTAGAAGTCGCTCAGGGACATGCCGTTTTCAAACTCCCTGAAGGTGAGGTGGTCGTCTCCGTCGGTGTTCAGTTCGTAAAACTTGTCCCCGACTCCCCACAGCTCGATGATCTGAGGCAGGTAGATGAAGCCATCGCCTGCATGCAAAGGATAATATCTAAATTTACCATAACTTGCATGCAAAGGATAATATCTGCATTTCCAGAAAGCTAATTTCAAGAAGTAACAATGGATCTTCCAGGTTCAATAGAAAGACATGGAAACTTGTTGGTCGATGTGCCAGCATAGGAGTAAGTAAGGTCTATAAGACAAGGCCTTCCAGCTTTAACAACCAGAAACTGTAACACCAACTTCAAGCCCCATTGTCTTTGCGGCTTTGAGTATGTTAAAACATCAAACTCCATAAGTTATGAACATTTAAATTAGATACATATCAAAGAGGAAACTGTAGATTTACAAATGTATAACAGTGGTTTGCTTACCATCCCTGTCCAGGGCCGTGAGAGCCTCGTGCAGAGACATGGCGGCAAACACTTCATCCTTGGAGATGAGTCCGTCCCCGTTGGCATCCAGACCACTAGTCTGCCTGCATGCAACACAAATGTGAAAAAATCTTGTAGATACCTTTGGGAACGCGCATCTTGTTGCAGTGCGAAGGAGGCTCTCAAATGTTGGATTATTAGGTACTAATTCTTTGTTGTGTTGAAGACACATTTTACCCTTTTCTAGAATAATTTTGATTTTCAGATTTTTTCCAACGATTCTATACATCAAACATCAAGCAGATTCGTTCAAACCACAGGCACATAGACTCAGTCGTTAAATGATTTAGCAGCGATGCTGTAAGTCTGCAAAACCAGTTTGTTACGTCGACGCGAGGCCAAAAATGGACAAGTCAGATTCACGTTTCTTCAGATGGTACACAAAATGCAGGGTAAATAAATTAAGATTGTGGTGAATTAAGGTAAGAAATTAGATGCGCTTCACGTACCTCCTCACTGGAGACGCCGTTGCCAAGGCAACGAACAGCAGAAGGAAGGGAGTCATGGTTGAATTTTAGATCTGAAAAAGACACCGTTGCATACACCATTATTACAGCAAAACTCAACTTGAATAACGTTCAGTTCTAATCAATCCGCAGGACACTTAACGACGGCCACCAACAAGAGTAATTCTACAAAAAGACAGAAGGACGCACAATGTGAGTGAACTGGAGACTTACCGATCCTGACAACCTCAAGGTCTGGATGTGAGCAATGGCAAGACGTGCGGCGTAATATATACCGTACGTGTGAGAAGGTGAGCAGGTTTCAACGGAAAAATCGACATTGTTGTAAATACAAAGGTCTAAATATAACCCAATTAACGCAGACGAAGCAATATGCAAAGTGAGGGCAAATGTCAAGGATAAGTAAGAACAAAACATTTTTGAGCTCGCGTGTGTCTGTCTGTGTGTGTGTGTGTGGGGGGGTCGGTTACGCTCTATTACGCTGTGCTCATTTTCCGTTAAATCATAGTTGTAAAGTTTTCTCTCGTTGCTTTATTTTTACAGAGACCACACGGTTATACCGGCTTTACCGATACAGATTCTGTTATTTCCCATATAATTCTACGTAGATCGTAGACGGACCGCTCTAATATTTTTGCGTAGAGCGTATTCGGCGTTTTAAGTCTACGTAATGCGTTGTAGCCACTTGGAATTTATCGTAAAGCGTAATCGAGAGGTTTCCGAATTCAGCGTAAAGCGTTGTCGGGACCCCCCTTGCAGGCCCTCATATAACCGACTATGGCATCCCGACCTTCTCCAGACCATGGTTGGGAGTGAGCCGCAAAGTCGTGGGGTCGTGTGGCGTAGCGGCAGAGGGCTTGACTCGGAATAAAGAGGTCCCGGGTTCGAGTCCTGACATGCCACCGATCTTGTGCCCTTGGGAAAGACACTTTACACGATTTTCCTTACTTCCCTCAGGTGTAAATGAGTATTGTCCTGTAATGTATTTGTCCCGTGTTGGTGGCGGGATTGATATAAGTTGAAAAAAACTTGAGTGTGCCGTCACCACGTCTTGTGATTATTTGTTGGAATATAAAGAAAAGTCGTGGAAAGGTGTGGAAAATGTCGCAGGACAGCAAATACCGTCGTAGAACCTCACAACTGCATGTGGGGTGAAGGCCAGGGGTGACATGTGGCTTCCAGACAAACATTTGCACGTCGTTGCCACGTCCAATCGCACAGAAGCGCTTTTCTCGTTTGTTCCTGAAGGCCTTGGAGGGGCGCCAGACTCAGCACGAGAAATGAGAAAAACATTTTTTTAACCCGGAGGCCCCGAAGATAACCTTTGACCAAATATGTTTGAGTTCAAATAGGTCTTTTATAATTTTCATAAATTATCAATATTACGCGCGTGGTGAGAGAACCAAGGTCGCCGTACTCTAATCTCCAAGCAGATGTTTAGGTGGCTGCAAAAGACAGTATCAAATTGGCAAAGCAGTATCCATTTGCCAGAAGGTATCCATTTGCCACCCAACATCTGCCAGCAATCTTACAGATACTGTCTTTTGCATCCACCTTAACATCTGCTTGGAGATTAACCGTACTCCACCTACCTCCTAACTACAGACGATCTTACTCACCACTAGCCATGTTATTCTTTTTATTGTAACACCTGTATTACTTATTGTATATGGATGTTATTCCATTTTATATGTCGATGAACATGAATGACAATAAGACAATGAAAAAAGAGGATTTGTGTTGACTGTAAGATTTTATTTCATTATTTATTTTCGCCTTGCTGTCGCCTTTTCTGAATCCGTAGTTGGACACCACAGGGTCCAGCTGTAGGGAAAAGAACATTAATTTTACTAAAGGCTTCAAATATTCTCCCCTAATTTGCAAAAGGTGGATTGTAGGAAACATTGCAACCTGGAACGAAATTCAAGCTGTTATTAAGCCAAACTAGGTTACTAGTAGTTTGTGCAGACGGCGAAAAAAACACCTCAGTTCTTTTGTCTGTGTGCATAACCATTGTGGTTGTAATTAAATGACAGTTTTGTT